CATTTCTCTAAATTTCATACAATATGAAATTTGTTTTTGTGTATTTTTCGGAACCTACTTGAAAATATTATGAAACAAGAATATATTTTTTTTGTAGTATAACATTGTATTGAGAATCACAATATTAATTGAGAATGTACATATATATGTATGTAGCAATATTTTATAATAAAAAATATATATATATAAAATATGTATGTCTCTTGAACTTTTTTGCGAAAACATATACATAACAATATTTTATAAAAAACAAAAAAAAAAGTCCTGGTTTGCTGCGATGCTGCTCTACTGTGCTATTAATGCCAATATTATTGTTGTATATAATTTTGCCGTCATCTCAAGAGAAAAAATCTTTGATTTTTTTTGTTTTTATTTTTTTCTTTGTTTTTTGTATAATTCTTTTCTTTGGTCGAAATTTGAGAGTTTATCTAGTAGTCAGGTGTAGTCAGTTATCGAGTTCGGTTGTTTAATAACGGAAATAGTGGCAAAAAAAAAAATATTATTGAAAATTTGAAAAAAAAAATAATGAATATAGAACACATACTTATATATAAAAAATATATAATAAAATATTATAAAAAATTTTCTGTGAAAATTATAGAATAAAAAAAAAAAAAAAAGAATTAATTAAAATTTAAAAATTAAAAAATTTTTTGTTTTTTGTATATTAAATTTAATAAATTAGATACACAGGCATGTACACACACATATACATATATTATATTAGAAAATTAAGTAATATATAAGATTTAAGAAGAAAATTAAAATGATTTTTAGATAAGATGAAAAAAAACTTAAAAAATTAAAATAAAAAATTATTAAAAGTAAAATGGAAATTAAATATTTTTTGGCTAATTTCAAAATTAATATTAGAAAAGTGTAAAATTTTTAATTTTTATAAGAAAATTTAAGAAAATTTTGAGACAAAAATGATTTGCTTTTACTTTTTTTTTTTATATTTTCTTTTTTTTGTTAAAGAAAGAAATGGGATTTATAAAAATTATTTTTATTAAAGAAAAACTGGAAAGAAAAAAATCTATTTAGTGAAAAAATAAAAGTTTAGGATAATAAAAAAGCTTTTTAATATAAATTGTGTATTTGCTATACGGGAAAATTCACCACACCCATATTAACATGTTTTTCTTTATCCTTTTGATTCTCAATATTATTTTGGTATTCTTCTTCTTCGTCTTTTTGGAAATCAAAATATTTTATTAATTTTTGATAGTTGTATTCTTTAGATTCAAGATAAAATATATATTTATAAATAGTAGAGATAAATGGGATGAAATTTAAAAAAAAAAAAAAATATTTAATAAATTTATTATTTCACTACTATTATTAAGTATTTGAGAACAGGGTTCCCATAAACTTTACAAATTGTTTGAATTTTATTAAATACTTGAAAATTAACCAAAAATTTCTTATTGAATAACAAAGAGAAAAGTCCTCTTAAAGTTAAATATTAAAAAAAAAAAATATTTTTAATTTTTTGCCTCTTAAATGCTTACTTTAACAATGATATTTAACGATATATGTATATATGTAATATTAATAATTATTCATAAATTTATATAAATATTATTTTTATAATAATATATTTAATATAATTTATAGAAATATATATATACATTTTTAAATTACATTTATGTACAGTGAAATTTCGATTTAAAGAACCCTATTCAAAATCTCTTGAATCCTATCAAGTCTAGCTGTAGAGGAGTTCCCTTTTTCTATTTACTTGTTAATTTGTTATTACAAATTAATCACATATATATTATATATAATTTATATTGGACCTGAATTTATAATAAACATGCAGTTGAGTTTTCTAAACAAATACCGAAAAATTAAGTGTATATAAAAAAATATCTCTAATTAAAAGAACAGAAACCAATGATTTTAAGTATTGTTGCCACTCTATATAAAGACTCTACTGTGTATATTTAAATATTAATTTTTTTTATTATCATAATTTTATTTTGATTACAATCTACATATTTTTATTATATTAGAATATTTTTTTATAAATATATTTGCATTTATATATTATTATATTTACATATAAATTTTATAATTTGTACAAAATTATGAATACATAAATTTATGTAAAATATTTTATATTCATATATCCTTATACATGTATACATACATAATTATAATATTTTATTCACCACAAGTAATAATTTTCATTTTCTTTTTTCTCTCTACAACATGGTTCTTTCTTTGTTCTATTATTTTTTTTTTTTGTATTACTTTGTAAATGTCCTTACAATATTTAAGTGGATAAAATAATATCCTTATACAAAAAATACAAAAAAAAAAATTGTAATAATTGTAAATCGGACTGCAAGCAAGAAAGATTGAAAACTTTTGTTTGGGAGAACAAAATAAATAAGTCGGATATACGGGAAATTAGGAAATAAAATTTTTATAAAAATAATTTTCTATTTCTATAATAATTTCTATAATAAAACCGTGTATTTTTTAATTTAATTAAAGACCGGGTTAAAAAACATTCACATTGTGATCCTTTTTTAAATTTATTTTGCATGAAATAATGACCAAAAAAAAACCATGTGGAACAAAAAATAAAATTTATATTAGAAAGCTATTTTTATTATCCTTTTTTTTGTAATTTACGATATTTATTAAATTATATGTGATTTATTTTGTATTATTTACAAAATTATATTTAAAAAATATTTGCTACTTATTTATTTAATTTTAATTAAACTAATTTGTTAATACCATACTAGTGTTAGTGTAGATAGTGGTGAGCTACAACTATAAAAATTGGCTATGAAATATTCGAAATTTGAAAATTTTTAAATAATTTGAACTTGAAAATATTTCGAAAATATTACTATTAATTATAAAAATGTGAATTGTGAATTAAAAGAAATATATTTTATTTCCCAATAAATATTACAGGACGTAATATTAGTAATATGAATTTGAAAAATTTTTTCTAATATTGGATAGAGAACTCTTTCGAAAAGCCCTCATTAAGCAGATTGTATATTCATTAGGAAATTTTAAAGAAATGATTTTCTTGTACTAAGAAAAAAGAACGAAATTTTACAAAAAAAAAAAACTTACTAAATCAAAATGACAAAAAAAAACATATTTCGACATAATGCTAGAAATTCAAAATTTAAATGAAAATTCAAAAACTGAACAATAATGCCATTTTTGCATTTTATTTATAAAATTCAAAACTGTTATATAAATATGGTAATAATGCAAATCAATTTTTAAAATTTTAATTATTAACATGGAAACTTAGTTGTATAGAAAATTAATTAAAAAAAATTAAAGAAAAGATTTATAATCCCCCATATTCTGGTAATCGTATATCTATTATGTCAATGTTTATTATTCTAGCAGTCATAGAAGTGATAATTGAAAGTGGTACCAATTTTGATATGAAATTAATTTTTTTGTCACTTCCGTACTTGTATTCGATAGACCACCAAAATTTTTTGTTTCAAAATTCTCAAATACTTTAAAAATATAAAATAAATAAGATTTTATTTTAATATTTAAATTGGGAAGTTGCAAGGTATTTAAAAAATCGCTAATAATTAAAATAATTATGCTATAAAACTTTCTTTGTGTTTGTTTAGGCACAATATTTATGAAAATATTCTTGTATCAAATCTGTTCTAATATAAAAAAAAAAAAAACATCGCATGAGATATCCTAGAAATTTTTTTTATTGGCTCTACAAATGTGATTACCAGGCAGGAATAATATTGAGATGGCGTAACATACTAGAGTTTTTTATAATGTTAGTGACGCGACTAATAAAATATAAATGTATATTTCATTCTGTAAATTCTTGTTTGAATGCCTAATTTGAAAATTTCATTACGAACTTAATTTGGACATCGAAAATTAGCTAAATTATTTTTTTAAATAATTTATTTATCTGTTTATTTAATTATGTATTCACATTATTTTAAACAGTAGTGTTATAGATTCGATAAATATTATTTTAAAAAACCTCAGATTTCAATTAAATTTCTAATTTATTAAAACTAAAAATTTAATTGTTTATGATTACAATTTTAATGACCTTAAATTCAAAATTTCAATTTGTTCCTTGAAAATTTAAACATATTTAATTGGAAAAAAAAATTTCCAATAGCTCACCACTTGTACGACTACATACTATTAAAATATTAAATTAACAATTAAAATTACAAATTTTTTTAATTTATTTCCAATATTATATTTACAATACTCTTACATTTATTTTACTTTTAATATCTAATTTTTTTTTCTTATAGTTCAATATAAAACAGTGAAAAATGAATTTATAATACCAATTATCATCTATAACAACCGAATATAAAAAATATTGAAATAAAATTAACTATAATACAGAATTGAAAATAATAAATTAAAAATATTTGAAAATATGAAAATTAAAAGAAAAAATTATAAAAATAAATGAAAAAACAAAATATTTTTGAATAAAAATTTTCAAAATAAAGAAATTAAAGTAAATAAAAAAATATTTGAAAAATTATTGAAAACAAAAATTAATTTTTATAAAATTTTTTAAATTTTTCTCTCTTTCCTAGTACAGTTGTTTTTGTTTTTTATCCTGAAAATAAGAGAAAATGTGTTGTGAAAAAAATGAATTTAGTTAACAAAAAATATAAAATTAATTTAAATAAAAAATTTAAATAACAAAGACAGAAATAAAATTTTTAATTAAAATTTCTAGAAAAAAAAAAGAAAAATTAATAATAATATTAAAAATTAAAGAAAACTTGAAAATTTTTAATAAAAAATAAGAGAGAAATTAAAATTTTCTTATACAATATTCCTTTAACTTAATTTATTCTGAATACAAACAGTATTATTTACTGTCATAACAATAAAATAACAATGGCATTCAAGAAGGCATAAAAAATTTTTTTTTATTTTATTAATTTATTTGTACTTTTAATTTTTTCCTCTTATTTTTTTTTTTTTTTAATTTAAATTTGTTTCTCTTTTTTTTTTTTTTGTTTGTTACCATCCCCCCACTTATTATTTAGTTTATCAGTTTTTTAAAATTTAATTTTTTTTTTATATTTAAGTTTATTTTTCTTTTAAATAATATTTATATGTGAAAGAAATAATCAACAACAATTAATAAATAAAAATTAATTAAAAGTAACCAAATAAACTTTAATGTACAAATATAAAGAGAAATATGCACAATAGTGTTACAATAGTAAAATAATAAAATAACATTTTTCAAAATAAAATTACACACACTCAAACATCATTTATATATTGATAAATTTTATTAAATTAAAATATAAAAAAAGGACGAAGAGTATGTATATAATATAAGAACACAAAACAAATAATAAATACAAAAAAAAAAATCGAACTAAAAAGAAAAATAAAATATAAAAATAATAAGTAAAAATAAATTACAAAATAAACATAAGATAAAAGAAAAAATTTATCTCTTTGCTTCTCAATTTATTAGTTGTGTCTCCTCTCCATAATAAAGTCCAGAGAATCTTTAGAGAAAAATTTCAAAAAAAATAAAACATAGAAACATATAAAAGATTGAGTAAAAGAAATTGGTGAGAAAAATAAAAGAGTAAAAAGCAGAAGAATAAGCATAAGTGAATATCAAAACAATAACAAAGAGCAGAACAGTAACAAAACAATAAGAGAACAATAGAAGAAAATCAAAACAGAAAACAACAAGAAAATCTTTTAAGAGAAAAATTTAGTTTCTTTTTTAATTTCTTCTTTTTTATTTTACTGTAATTGTTTTTTTTTGTTCTCATTCTTTTCATTTCATTTATTTTTTTTTTTTTTTATGTTTTTAAACTTATAGTTTATTTTATTTATTATTTTTTTTTTCATTTCTAAAAATAAAATATAAACTTTAAGTTTTCGAAATTTAAATTGAAATCTTGAAGAAACGATTAAAGTTAAAAACGAAAAAAAAAAACAACAATAAAATACAACAACTGAACAATAACAAAACAACAATAATAATTTAAAAAAAAAATACATAATACAAAACAATAATAAACAAACAAATAAAAGAAAAAATAAGAGTAACAAAAAATAAAATGAAAATATTTCTTAAAAATCTGATGCTGGCTTAACAATTAAAATAAAACCAAAAAGAAAAAGACAATATATATACAAGAAGAACAAACAAGAATAATAAAAAAAACAAAAAATCAAAAAGAGAATATAATAATATATTGTATACCTACATGTATATATACATAAATACAATTATATAATATACATAAATGTGTATAAATAACATATACATATGTATGTATAAGAACCCTCAAAGGTAAGGATATTTTATTTTTATTATATACAGACACACATACACACAAATTGTTATAATATTTGTTTTTTTTTTTTATCTAAATATAATATAGAATTTTATATTTTAAGAAAAATAATAATTCTGAGCCCAAAAATAAAAGGAACCTTTATTTATTTCTTGTTTAATTTTTTTTTTTTGGTCCTCTTTAAATATTATATATATATATACATATACGTATTTGTATGTGTATTTAAATGAAAAAATACACAAATAATATCAGAAATGAAAAATGGTATATAAAATAAAAATAAAAAAACTGAAAGAAAAATAAAACTTTTAATTTATTCTCAAGTATAAAATTTATATATATATCATATATGATATATATACTGTTATATTATGATATATTATACACAAATATAATTATAAAATATTTTATATGAAACATTTTCATTTTTTGCCTTATATAGAAATATTTTGCGAATTTATTATATTTTTTTTGTGGAACAAATTTGTGTCAAATGGTTTATGTCACTTGCATTCGGTATTATAATATTGTTATAACTGTATTAATTTTTGTATACATATTATATATATCATATTATAAAATGTGTATAAGTAAATAAATATTGTAATTTTATGAAAAAATGAAAAAAAAAAAAATTACGATATGGAAAATTTATCAAAAGGTATCAAAATTTTTAAAATTAAATATTTTTTAAATTTTTGAAATTAATGTGAAAAAGTAATAAAATATTGTTAAAAAACTGAATTCAGATAAAAAATAAAAACAGGTTCTAAAATAACACATATTTTTTTAACAATTGAAAAAAGTTTGTTTTGCTTTATTAATTTACCAAAAATAACTAATCAACTTAATAATTACTAATAGAAATTTTTTCATACAATTGCGGAACGAAATGAGTCAAGGCAGAATTTATTAAAAAAATTGTGTATTCCAAAGTGAAGATTGAATGTAGCGCAATAGTATGTAGATTACAGTATAAAACAATGCGAAGTACAATTTGCTAGTAATTTCTTCATACCTCTATTATTAAATTAGTGGAGCGTCCATCTAGAAAGCGGTATGACATTGATTCGAGTCCAGTTTGAAGAGAAAAAAATTTTTTTAATTAATTTTTCTGCCTTAACTCGTTATTTTGATTATGACATTCATTTTGTTCTGCAAATTTATGAAAAAATTTTAATGTATCTTTCTTTTCTAAACAATTTTCTTGCCAAATTATTGTATTTAATAATGTTATAATAACTATTGTATTGCATACTTTTAGGGATAAAGTACAATATAAAGAAGAGATTAAGATAATAGTAAGTTACGAGATTATAACAATTAATTGTCAAAAAAAAAAAGGATTTTCTGAATTTCTATAATAAATATTTAGAATTTTACTTTTTATTTTCATAGAAACTTTGCAAAAAATTTCGTATCTACATATTATTAAAATTTCAGTCTTCAGTAACATATTGAAAAAAAAAATTCGAAATTATTGGATTCAAGATATAGCATACATTCATGGCCAATTTTCTATAGTGACGCTCGTCTAGTATAGTAGAACATATAATGAAAGAATAACTCTTTCATATTCTCAGAATCCAATAATTTTTTTCTAATCTCTAAAATTCTATTTTTCCACTCTTTTGTAAAATTTAAATTTTTTATAGCCAAAATAAACGAATTGGCAAAATGAAATTGATAACCACATTTTCTCACAGTTTTGTTAAAAAATTTGTTTTTTTTTTTTTACTTTTGGGCACCCATTTTATGTCAAAAACCCAAAATATAACTTTGTACGTAGGCGTAATAATGTGTCAAAATAAATATATTTAAATTAGGAAGAGCACACAAAAAAAGAAAAAATACATAAAATGAGGTGAAAAACTACAATATGGGGGAAAAATTCTAGTTCTCTAAATTTGTTTACCTCTTAATTATTTTAATTAGTAAAAAGTGTCTCGTTCTTTTTTTTTTCACAATGCATTTTATACATACACGCATATATCAACAAATTTGACTATATAAAATGAATTTTATGTTATGCATACAGTAATAGGGTCCATGTTCGGTTATGGGCGCATAAATATGATGTAAAAAAATTCACCTATAATAATTATGAAAAATTTCGTATAAAATAAATTTGTTCTTAATAATATTGAATTTATTCATATGTTTGTTAATTATGAAAAAAATCAGTAGTAATTGGAAATCTTCAATTCAATTCGTATTCCATTGTAAACAATTCAATGTTATGCAAAAGCGAGTGCATAAGAGTATTAAAATTTGTAACATTTGATTAGTATGAGAAAATTGTTTTCACAATTTATTATTTTAAAACATAATTTTAAATCTTTAAATATCTAAGAATTATTTTTTTTATTATAAATAATATCTTGTTAATCATATACAGCATTAAGCAACTCTTATGATTCTTATACGATAAAGAAATGCGGTGATCCATTAAAAAAAAATTTTTTTTGAATAATCTGAAACTTGTCTTTGAATGTAATTTCCTCTCGCTTTATTCGCATCGAATCTTGAAAAATTTTTTAAAAATTTCGGAAATATCAGAGAATTTTTTACACACTTATGCATAAATAATAAATTCGATCAAAGCTGTGGTTGAAAAGTAGCACTCTTCCTTTGAACAACTGAAAATATTTTTTTAAAACGAATCTTGTCCTTAAAATGGTCTCATATAAAAAATTGTTCTACACATAAAAAAAAAAAAAATTTCCCAGAAGGAACTCAATTTGTGATTCCGATACAATAAGTAGTTGAAAACAGAATTTTAAAACTATAAGATACTATAACTTTCAGAGAAAAAAAGGTAGACAAAAATTTTCTTCTACAAAAATAAATTTTCTGTTAAAAGTCAATTAGTGTATTGAGCTTTCACACTGGGTGTAAAAATTTTGCAAACATATGCATTATTAAACGGACAGATTGAAAGTTAAACTTTAGCTATGCATATTATAAAAAAAAAAAAAATTATTCAAAATATCATGGCTTAAAATAGTAAAGCTAGCTTTGAGTCCATAAACATTATTATTTGATGCTAACTACAAAAAGTTTCTCTGCATACAAAAAAAAATTTGTGTATAATTCTTCTGCGTTATAATGCAATAGTATTGATATCGTAAAATTATATATTATCGTAATAATAAATTATTTATCGTAAATTTTTATCGTAAATATTACATACATATATTAAAATTATATAAAAAAATAATATTCAATTGTGTAATATTATTCTTAAAGCCTTATACTTTCTTTAGAACTCTTTAAAATAGCACACACTCTTTATATCGTAACAGAGCTACAACTAATGATTTTCGTTTTAAAAATCAACCCTTCAAATATAAAATTATAATTATTTTGCTTTGAATATTTTAATAAATTATTACTCTTCAAATTTTAAATATGTTGTAATCAGAGGAAATAATAAAAATCTGACATATTCTAATTTAAAAATTTTATATTTTCTCTCTCTCTCTATCTTATTCGATTTCACTGCCTCACTTTCCATGCCTACTTTTATTATTCTTAATACTACTACGACTAGATTAATTTTATGAACGAAGATATCCTACTTAATTCTTAATGATGATGATGAAAAGTAAATTTTCTTTTCCTTCTGTTTTTTTTTTTGGTTCTTGTTGAAGTACAAGACAGGTTGTAGTATCTTTTCACCTTATTTTTCAATACATATTGTATAAAGAGAAAAGAAAACAAACATAAAAAAAAATGTCCTTAAATGTCATATATTTGTAATAACATTAAATGGGGTGTTGTGTTTTTTATATTTTTCAATAGTACAGGGGGGGTCCCTCCCCGCCCTCCTTATGTGTATATATGTGTATACTTATCCAATTACATTTATTACTATAATTCTATATTATGAACATACACAGATAAATAAATGAAATTTTGATTTTAAGTATCGTTTTATACTTAACCTGGAAAAAGAAAAATATATAAAAACAAAAGGAAAATTGAAAGTCCTTTTTATATACAATTTTTAGTTCCTTGTACACAATATTACACACACACACGTTATGTATATATGAAAATTTGTTATAATTTTTTTCTTTTATTATTATTATATTTTGTATTACCATATACATATAATCTTTTAGATATTTTCTCTCTCTTTTATATTAATATTGTATATGATATCGTATATGACATCGTATATGTATGTATATATATATATTGTCATCCGACTCATATCAATAGCTTTAAGCGTATAATAATAAAAATATATTTCAAAATTATAATTTCTAAAAAAAAAAAAACGAAAAAACTAAAAGTATAACAAGCACAAGCAGCATTCAAAAGTAGCTAATATTTTATATTGTATACAAATATGTATATGAAAGCAAGAATATAAAAAATATGCAATTTATATTATATGTATATGAGTTATTATTACGCAAGTGAAATAAGAAAAAAAAAAACAGACTTTGTAACTTGAATATACCTTTAGGAAAAATTATTTTATTTTTCAATTTACAAGCAATACGTCATAATATTAAAAAAAATATAAAAAAGAAATCCAAAATTAAAGAAAAACGAGAAAAAATAGAGTTGACCTTGTCAACTCTGTGATACCCGTACAAATTTGTTATCCAATGTGCGAATGACAGACAATGACGGGACAGACTATGACTTTAAGTTGCCATATTACCATATTAATTTATGCAAAGTTTCAGTACTGTGTCAATATTTTTTAAGATATGACCAAACTACTATTGAACTATACAACTTACCAGAAGCTACCAGAAAGAGCCAAGCAATTTCAACGAATTTTTATCAAACACATTGGCCCTACTAATATATTTGCTCGTTCGCACAGCTTTTATAGTTTTCAAGACATAGGCAAATAAATTTTGAAGTTGTGTGGCAGTTACCCCGTACCAGGTACTCCGATCATAACCAATTTAAATAGAGTTCTGGTATTTACTATAAAAAAATTATTTGTGAAAATTTGGTGCACTTAGTT